ATGTTTTTTCTCTGAGGGACACGAACAGCAAAGTCAAAGAGGAAGTCGTCACGATACACACACACACACACACACACACACACAGTAACACACACACAGTAACACACACACACACACTCACTCAGGTGTTGAATGTGACACTCCTCTAACTCGTGTTTTCAACCAAACACACTCGAGACCGACTCAGGACTGAATAAAATAAAATATAAAATAAAATAATAAATTTGCATATTTTTTAATTGAACATTTACTTTTATCTTATTGGCTGTTTAACTGTTCAGATTACATCTAAAAAAAATAACAAAAATTCCGAAAAAAGGTTTTAATGAACATGTTGACTGTACAAAAACAACAACAACAAACAAAAACAGGTAAACAATACAAATATCAGTATTTTTTTTAATCAGTAGTTTGTGCTTTTAAAGTGATAAATAATTATTATGAATAAGAATCTGTTCTCGATGAACCCACCTGGTTAAATAAAGGAAAAATAAATAAAATAAACGATAAAAAAGTAATAAAATTATTAATGATTGTTATTTTCCAGATATTTAAAGAACGTTTTTGTATCTTAAGGATTTAAACATGTTGAATTTTGTTTTTATTTTACTTCATAGATTTTCTGTGTTTTGTTGATTAATTCACATAATGTCTAATAAAATCATAAAAAAGTTTTCATTTCATGCTAATTATATTAAAAATAAAAAAAAACATCATGTTCAATAATCTGCATTTTTACAAACAGGATTTTAGCTGGTTGTTGTTATTTTGAACATTATTTTCCATATTTTAAAAGAAAATTTCTGTATATTAAACATTTTAAACAGTAAATGAATTTTAAAAATGTAATTTTACAGATTTCGTAAAATCGCAGAAAAATTCATCAAAAAAAAAAGAAAAAAAAAGACAGAACAGGTGAAAACTGTAAAAAAATGTCAAAAATATTTGTTGTTTGTTTTTATGAGCTGTAAATAAAATAAATCCGTATCTTTAGACACAAACTTGCACAGCTTCATGTATTTAATTCAGCTAAAAGTGTGATTTTTTAAACAGATATTTGCTTTTCCTTTTTTTTAGTTCCTGAATGTTTTTATTTTATTTTTTTACGTGTCTTTGCTGTCAGATGTTCACCATCTCTTCTTGTTCTTGCTCTCCAGCAGCGTTGGCGTCGTCAGTCTGAGGATGTGCACGATCCAGACTTTGGCCTCTTCGTGCCGCCGAGCGAACAGCGTTTGTTCTGTTTCTCTGATAAACACTCAGTCGGATCGTCTCCGTTCATCAGATTCATCGTGGGTTTGCTCTTCGGTTCGATCCTCTGAACTCGGAGCAGCAGCTTCTGGGGCTTTTATTCGGCTCCTCAATGAGGTTCATTTTTCAGGAGTTTATCAGGACGAACTCCTGCGTTTATGCTTCTACTTACAAGAAAAACATGTAAAAAAGAAAAACTAGACTCAACACATTTCCAAGTGTTCGGCCTTAAAACTCGATTTTTACAGAATCTGGTGGAAGCCAACTGTTTATTTTTGGTGATTTTTTTTAATTAAAGACGCCGAATGAAGCGATTTTGATGAAACAACAAAATGATTTCCTCAGATATCAAAAAACAATCTGACTGAAATTCATCTGGAGGCGACCAAATCAGAGCTCAAAGTCAGGATTCGTGGTTTAATCTGGACCTTGTTGGTTGGATGAAGGTTCACTGCAGAGCCGCAGCTAAAGATTCTTCTCTGGACGAACTTATGAGCTGTTTGGTCTCTACAACGCCTGAAAATATGAAAAACGTGGATCATCGTTTCCTCAAATGTCTTGTTTTGTCCAAAGTTTTCAGTTTACTGTCACAGAGGAGGAAAGAAACCAGAAGATATTCACACTGAAGACGCTGCAGTCACAGAGTTCAGACAGTTCTTATGAAGAAACGACTCAAACTGATTGTTAAAACAGTTTCTGATCAGATGCGTCCGCTCGTTCCTCGACTTGGAGGCGAATAAACTTGTTTTTCTAGAGTCAGACCGATTCTTCTGAGCGTTCCATCTTGTTTTCTGCTCATCCATCACTGATAATTACTGCAGAGAACAAACTGACGAGAGCTTTCTTTCGGTTCCCGGTCAGAGACAGAACTCTGGTTGTTCGGGCCGACGCTGGAGATCCGCTGATTCTTCTGCTGCTGAGTCATGAAGCTGCTTCCGTTTCAGCTGAACCTCCTGACTGTTGCTATGAAACATCACGATTTTAAGCCCCGATTCGGTAAATTTTCTTAACAGAACTGCACTCACGATGCGTTCAAGGACTGTTGGAATGTTGATAACTGGCTTCAGGCTGAAAAACTGAGCAATTCTGGAGATTTTCTTGAAGATAACAAACCAGAGACTAAAGGCAGAAGGGGGTTATTTTTACAGAAAGACTGTAACCGGTTCTGTCTTTGCTCAACCAAGTTTCATGAAGTTCAGCCGGATGGTTTTAAAGTTGTTAAAAGACAAACAAAATGTACAGCAAATGTTCTTTTGTCTGAGATTCACCGAGGCAGCATAAATAACCTCCACCGCTACGCTGACGACACTCTGTTTTACCTACATAATAGAACTAGCCAGGTTGGTTTAAGCCCGTTTAAGATTGAAAAGTTCACCAGGTGGCGACTCTGTCTCCATCTGAATCTCACATAAACTACATTTTGTAACATCTTTATACCAGTGAATGGAAAACACTGCCTGTGACAGTCAAAACCAGGATCTGGTCTGATGTGAACACAGTAAACCCTGCTGAACCAGGTGTGTACAGGTGTGTCTGTTACCTGCTCTGGCCGGGCTGCTGTGCAGGCAGTTCGGCGAGACGACGCTGGCGTGCACGGAGGTGGAGGCGTGGTTGCTGAGGTCCATCACGGTGGGCGGGGCCGGCGTGGGCGGGGCCGGGGCCATGATGGGCGGCTGCCGCTGGTCGTGGCGGTGCTGCTCGTGGTGGTGGTGGTGCTGGGACGGGCTGGACGGGATGCCGTTCTCGGACAGGAACTCCTCCAGGTCCATGTACTCCAGCTGGAAGGTGTCACCGTCGTAGGGCAGCGTCTTGTCCCAGAGCGTGGGGCCGAGGAAGGCCGACTGGGGGGCGCTGCGCTCCTCCTCCAGGTTCTTCTCCTTCTCCTGGTCCTTGCCGAACGCTGAAACATGGAGGAAGGACTCGGTCAGTACAGAAACACTAGAACGGTCCAGGGGACAGGAGGCCTGGCTCTGACGAAGCTTCAGTCTGTTAAAGGAAGAGGTCACTTCCCACCGCTGCTCAGAAATGAATCCAGACCACACAGGAAACATGCTTCTGAGCAGCTAGTTTACAGGATGAAGTCATTTTTTATCAAAACACTTGAAACGTTTTAAAGGTCTGATCAGATCCAGACTCCAGCAGGAGACCTTCAGCACAGAGAAGCTTCTCATTGTTGGGTTTCTGTTGGAGTTCTTTGTCTGACTTGGTGAAGGACGTTGAGATAACGAGCTGTGGACTGACGCCTTCAACACAAACCTGTGGGTCTGCACTTTGTAATCATCTGACTGGAGCTGCAGGTTTGGTTAACTTGGACCGATCAGCTCCCGTCTGGTACCATTCACTTTCTGTTTCTAGAACGTTTTCACCACCGATCACTGGACCAATCACCAGAGCCCCACTGAGCATCTTCTGGATTATTAGTATGGTCATGTTTACTGTTCCCCGTCCAAAGCAGCTCTCTCTGATTGGTTACGACCGGCAGCCAATCAGCACTGGAGGACTGATGCTGAGGAAGTGTCCGTTAAACATATAAAATAAAAAATAAAATGTGCTTTAATGAAGTCACAGCT